ACTTTAAACTCCATATCGAGCAACATGTATTGTTTCAAAATTAATTAAAAACAAGCATTCAAGTTGCTTGATTTTGTATATTATTTTAATTAAACTTGCATGATCAAAGAATAATTATCAAATTAGCAGTAAATAATTTTAAAACGTAACTGTACAATCAAATTATATGTAATGAATACAGTATTATTAAAATTTTATAGCTCCATGGGCTATTCTTTGGCTGTTGGTAGTACTGTACATATAACACAATCCCACAAAAATATAGAATATAGTCTTTGTTAGTTTGCCAGTTAGGTCTGGTGCACTAGCACCACTACTCTTGCTATTTGAACATTCAAAAGAACTTGTATTAATTTCTTGTCCACATGACTTACATCGCCCTAAATGAGAAATGTCCATTAAACGTATAAAATAAAGACAGTACCATATGAAGACATTGAAGATGTATTGGGTCACAGATCCCAGGCTCCGGTTACAGGGAAATTTCCTGTGGAGCAGAGCCCAAACTGCACAGTTAGACATTATGGATATGTTAACCCATTGAACACCAGTGGCGATCTCCAGTTCACAAGTAAAATTGTCTGGTGTTAGACAGAGTGAAATAATAAAGTAGGGTGCATTAGGGCACAATGCAACTTAATGGTTAATTAATATGGTATATATGTCAAATAAATTGACTCAGGTAATTTTTCACAGTCATAAGTTCTGGCATTTATAAACCTGTCTAATGCCAGGCAGTTTTACTTGTCATCTGGTCCATTATACATGGATTAATTGTATTTCTTAACTATCCCAAATTTCATTTTACATATTACAATATATCAAAAATAATCTATATGCAGATCTAAGATAGAAAGTTCATAATTAATGTCTAACTGAACAGTTGCACTCTACTCCAATACTGGGGACACCACCACTGAAGATGCTCTAAAACATGTAATTACCAATCATCGATTTAATTGGTTAGTTGTCGGGGCACAATTTTGGTCAATGCCAATGGCAGTGAATGCATTGGCTGGCACAAACCCTTCATTCCTACAAATACCTAACTACAACTCAAATGGTTGTGGGATTTATTGAACTCTGACAAACTATGTTGGACATGAATACTGTATACCTCCAATTGTTTATATTTGTTCATTAGCATTTTTGATGTGCTAGTGAGCTGTTGGAACCCCCTTGGGACTTAAATTTGGGAGAGGGCCTATATTCGGAATCTCCTGAGCATTAGTTAATATGGTGGGATTATACACAGGAGGTCTTATATTTGGGGAGGGGCTTATATTCAGAGGTTTATGGTAATTTCTTGATTGCGCAATGTGTATTGAATGGTTTGAACTTGACATCTTTGGCCTAGCAAAGCAATTTTTCACTTGCCTGTTGTCGACTGAAGTGACATTAATATAACTAAACAGTAATTATAAATAACTTCTACAAGAAACTGGCAAGGCTATCACTAAAATTAAGTTTGAGAGGAGAAGTTATCTATATAATAAAAAAGAGGAGAAGTTGGAGAAGTTGAAGAAGAGAAGTTTGAGAGGAGAAGTTGCTTATCTATATCTTATCTATATCTTATCTATATAAAGCCTGTAGTAATATATATATAAATATAAGTGCACAGTAAGGATTTTGACACCATAAGCAGCCTTTAAAACCATATGCAAAAACAGAGGCTAGTAGTAAATTAAAAGAACAATAAAATATACAAAATTCCCAACCATTTTCCTATGGGGGTTAGTGCTTCGTGCATTTCTTTAATAATTTCCATCGAGTCTATAAAAGCAAGCTAGAATCTAGAAATATTCAAATGTATAAAAATCTTACCGGTGAATAAAAATATTCTTCTAGTTCTTGTTTGGAGAATTCTCATACATACGAGCGGCACAAAAATTCAGTATCCGTTGTAAATCAAGCAAATTGGAAGAAAAATATCAAGGTTTTCAGTGAGATTTTTACCATACAAACGAGCCTCAAAAACTTTTTGGGCTCAAACCAGGGGGGTGATGTACATCGTCGAAAGCGTAGGATCACGGTTGGGATAGTGGTAGTTGCCATGAATCTAGGGACCAGTAGTCACAATGGCGTCAGATCCTCCATGTTTTTGGCGACATCTGCTAGACAGGATTTTTTTCGTAGTGAGCGAAAATCATTTGAGTGGCTTGGAATAAAAAATATTATCATATGGCTTTTCAAAATTCTCTATTCTGATTGGTTGACAAGCGGTCCGGAAAACCCATATCCGGACCGCGGTTCGTATTTTCCGTATCTGGACCGGTGTCCCGGATGCTGCGAAATTTTTGCTTTGCAAACAGAAAAAAATGTTTGCTTGCTAATTTTCCAATTGTGTGTCATTAAAATTTACAGATAAAAATTTCAAACAACCAAATTGTTTTTGATTGAGCATGCATGCCTACCGTATATTGTTACCCAGTAAAACTGACGATAGCCGATTTAATTCGCGTGAAAAGTATATGCTTCCAGACTCAGTTCAGCCATGTAATAAACCGATTATTGACCTCGCTTGTTCGGTCTGTACTGTGAAATATCAGACCTCTGATATTTCACAGTACAGACCTCACGCTCGGTCAATAAGCCGTTAATATTTGTACCAAAGACTTTACTAAATTTACAAAAATTGCGGGAAAATTTAACAAATTACAATATATCCGGAAAAATGTTTGTTCGTCGGGGAACAATTTTCTACCTCACCTCCCCCCCCCCCACTCCTCGCCCGCCAGCAATTTTGGGGAAAATATTAATTAGCGACTCAAATGTTGTTGGCAAAATGAGACACTACACTCCTCCTTTCTTTACCCTCTTCGCTACAACACTGGTCGGCGCCCCATTTTCGTGGCTTAATCTTAGCTGCCTGATATTGGGGAACAGTATAGATATGTGTATACTTGACATAAATAGTTTTACTATAAGAATCATGAATATAAATGAAAGAAAATTGGTTACTATTATAAAAAATTTTGAAATGAAGTTGAATTGTTTGTAATTGAGAGTTCAAACCAATTATATTATCCGCCTTGGAAAAAAGATTTACGTATCTATATACTTTGGCACATTGGTGTCGCTGTTTAAGTTCCTTTCTTCTGCACCCTATTTTGGTGGCTTACTATTAGCTGCCTGATATTTGGGGACGGTATAGATATGTATGAAAAGCATCAATGCAAATGAAAAATTTTTTTGATTGTTTCTAATTGAGGCTTCCACCTAATTACACAGTCTACATATAAAGTTAGTAATTTCTGTAAGTACTGAATTCAATATACGCAGTTTAGAAAATACCTCTGCAATATCAGATTTGGATGATAGGCCTACCGATTCTGTAATATCTATTTTAGATAACCTTATAGGAAGATGAGGACGTGGAAGTTTTGATGGCCGGTGCAGGCCCTACAGAAACGCCATTTCTTGAGTTTCCTCTCATTATTGCTTGCAGACCATTGAGTGCCATTTCGCGGATCTTCATTCTGGCTGAACATTAGATCATGCAAAGTTCGTGGTAGAATAGTTCTGGCGGTATAGTAGCGCTCTTCGCGTGCTACTATGTTTTCATGACTGGATATCCAGACACTTTAACAAAACGTTTCGTGCACTGACAGAAGTGCATATTTCACACTACAGATAATTGTAAACTATATACTAACTTCAGTCATTACATTTGTAAATAATCATATTGCTTCTTTAGAGAATGAAGTGAGATACTGTGGAGCCAGATTGGGACAACAAAGTTTTATAAGTCAACTGCATGCATGAGGAAAATGTATGTTAATTCATACTGTTCATGATATCTGATTTCGTATTATATATATTTCGTTTACTAACATTAAAGAATATAAGTGTTCCTATTGTGCATTTTGCTTTACTCAGGAAACCGAGTAATTAGACCTATTTACCTATTGTTTTGAGTAAATCCATATATTATTGAAAGTGAGTAAAAATCGCGTTCTACTGACGTTTTAGGTGTAATTGTGAAGAATTTTGCTTTACTCAAGAACTTGAGTAGGTTTTTACTCACCGCTAATTTGAGTGATTCTGAAAATTTATCCAGCTATTCGAAAATTGCGTTTTACTCACGTTTTAGCAAATTTAGGTGTCACTGTGGACGCATTTTACTCAAAAACACGAGTAATATCTTTACTCAAACTTGTGTGCCACTGTGGAACCATTTTTTACTCAAATATTTGAGTTGCTTCTACGCAAGCACTTTTTGTTAGTGTATAGACATTTAGGTGATTTGGAATCTAACTATCTTGCCAAGAAATCTGCTGTGTTGGTGTAATGTACTCAGGTGAATAAGATGTTTGTGTGATGTTACTCTGAGTGTATATCCACACCGGGCAGGCTTGAAAAATATGCCTGGCCACGGCGGGATTCGAACCTACGACCTTTGGAATACTAGCCCAATGCTCTTCCAACTGAGCTACGCGGTCAGGACGGTTCGAGCATGAGATATTTCGGAACTGAGTCTAGTTCCTTCGATATCAGTGTAATCTAATAATCATGAAATCTGCTGTGTTGGTGTAATGTACTCAGGTGAATAAGATGTTTGTGTGATGTTACTCTGAGTGTATATCCACACCGGGCAGGCTTGAACCGACCTGACCGCGTAGCTCAGTTGGAAGAGCATTGGGCTAGTATTCCGAAGGTCATAGGTTCGAATCCCGCCGTGGCCAGGCATATTTTTCAAGCCTGCCCGGTGTGGATATACACTCAGAGTAACATCACACAAACATCTTATTAACCTGAGTACATTACACCAACACAGCAGATTTCATGATTATTAGATTACACTGATATCGAAGGAACTAGACTCAGTTCCGAAATATCGCATACTCGAACCGACCTGACCGCGTAGCTCAGTTG